GTTGAAATACAAAAATATATTGACTTTTCTCAAATTCAAATTTTCGCAAGAGTAAGGAACAAGTTACAAGAATGTTATTAAATAGTTCCATTGATGATGTCCCATCATTGAAACCTAAAACATTTGAAATAGTTGCTGTTAATAATAATATATTATAATAATATCATTCATTTTATTTCATGGCGCCTTACAATATATTAAAAAACATCACACACAATATTAAAATACAGAACATTTAAAAGTTACAAAGAATAAGCCATCTTAAAAATGTGGGCTTTTCATCAAGGCTTTTGAAGAAATTTGACAGAGATTTCAGACCCCACAATGCATTGCCTGTCCACATCCGCCACACTGGCAGAAGAACAGTGGTCTATACGCTCGGCGCTAGTCTGTGTCATTCATATTTGAGTTGACAGCTTGTTGAGCGGTGGATTCTCCGGGAGACGCACAACCACAGGCAGTTTACTAACTAATGAGCGGAGTGCCATCACAGACATACTGACTGGGAGGGGCTTTGGGGGAATGCACACGTGAGGAAGAGATCAGGCCAGAAAAATATAAAAAAAAACTTGTTGAAAATGGGTCTGCTGTTGCTTGGTGACTGGCCGATCGTTGCCAACTTCAGAATTGAAATTCATATTTGGTGAGTATTTGAGTCCCTCATTAGCTTTCTGCACAGTAAGAAGCAGTGTTGTATACTAAGCTGTAATTATGTTCCACAAAGGAGAAAGGAGCCCAGAGTACAAATGGAGACCAATGTTGAAGTATGTTTAGTGGCGTTTCACTTCCACAGTTTACTGCTACAGTAAACTTTTGTTCACACTTAAGTGCGACAAAAGGCCAAAACATTTATTTTGATAATCAGAAGATATATTATGTTTTTCAAGTATCCAAATACCTCTACTGTCCATTAGAAGTTGCCAGAAGATAACTGTTTTATACTTTAGTCAAGTTTCCTATATTAGCTCGATTTTAGCCTTTGACAGAATGAACTGCGGAAGTTTGTTACATATTTTCAGATGTCCACATTTTATTCAAAGAAACAAAGTGATTACTTCATATACATGCATTAAGAGTTCCGAGCTTCCGGCTCGACCGCACGGCATTGTGGGTAGTTTTCTCAAAAAGGTGGGCATCAAATCCCCTGCCATATTGGATTACATGTTGTGAACATGAACTTTCTCTCTTGTTTCCAGCCCATAGATTGTTTTAATAGTTTAAAAATTCACCAATTGCATATTTTTTCATGTAACAAAAAGCAATGCATTTTTTTCTTATGGTTTTAGATGTAAACACAACCGACTGACTATAGAGCTACTGTACATGTAGCTTATGCTACTTACGACGATCGAATGCTTACTTTATAAACTTGCCCAAAGCTGTACTTTGGACATATTTGTCTGGTGTGGAGCTTCTGAATGTAGAGAAGGCCAAATACCTGGGGCACGTCATCAGGAGTGACCTCAGTGATGACGATGACATTCAGAGGCAGTACTGTGAGCTGTATGGACAGGCTAACACTTAAGCACAGAGATTTCACATGTGTACAGAGAAAGTGAAAATAACTTTGTTTAAAGCCTACTGCACACCTCTCTATACTGCCAGCTCACTGTTTGTTCTTAATAATGTCCCCACTCTGATGTTCTGATCAGAGCATGTATCTCTATAGTCAGTCGGTTGTGTTTACATCTAAAACCACAAGAAAAAAATGCATTGCTTTTTTGTTAAATGAAAAAATCTTTACCTTACCTTCGAAATGTCTGAAATTGGTGAATTTTTAAACTATTGAAACAATCTATGGGCTGGAAACAAGAGAGAAAGTTCACGTTCACAACATGTAATCCAATATGGCAGGGCCTTTTTGAGAAAACTACCCACAATGCCATGCGGTCGAGCCGGAAGCTTGGAACTCTTAATGCATGTATAGTAAACCAGTTAAATGTGAAACCAGACCATCACATTTTTCACGGGTAATTTTAATTTGTATTGATTATTTTTCAAAAAATCATCCTTTTTAAATCAAGTGATTTACTGATGTTGTGTATCTCTTTGATATGTCTCTTTTTTTTTTCAATCTATAATAGTAATTCTAATTTTTGAGTTATAACCTTTTAAAGGGCAGATACTGTGAACACACCCACGTACACAATTAACGTCAAACGTGGGGAAATAACAAAATTATCTAAAAGATGAATTGGTAAAGTAGGATTGGAGGAACAGATTGAAGTGTATACCGGACTGAATTTGACAAAAAATAAAATTCAATAGTTTATAGGCTATTCAAAATTACAACAGAAGTTGCCTCTGAGATCTTTGTCAGTTCACCAACAGCAGATTAGAGAAACAAAATTTAACACTGGAAATGTCCATAAATGTTAATAAATGTCCATAATGTCCTGATGCTCCGGGCCAATGACTGTCCTACGACCAACCTTTTTTGCAAAGATAGAAAAAACTGTAGGAAAAACAATTCATGGCCATGCAACTCGAAATTTAGATGGATGAATGGATGAATAGATGGTCCCATGCATGCGAGAGAGAGAGAGAGAGAGAGTCAGATGGAGGAAAGCCTGCTCCAGTGCCTCTGCATTAACCCGGCAGAATGAAATATTGAGCTGGTGCCGCATCATTCAAAATTAACACACAATCATGTTCTATTCATCACAGCACATTATCTATGATCAACATTTCATCACAAACTCATGTGCTGATCCACACGCACAAGACACATGTCCAGAGATGACAATGGAGTCGTTCTAAAAGGTTTGGACACAAATCTTTTGTAATCCTTGGCTGGTAGTATGCTTTTGATACAGGCACAGCACTGGAATTACATTGTCTTTTAGTTTCAGCTCATGGTACGACTATAGATTGTTGACAGTATCGATTCTAATGTGTTTACTGTGAATTTTATTTGCCCACTTTAAGTCAAAACTAAAATATGACAATCAATAAACTGAACCGGGGCAATAAAGCAGGAATATGAATAAAAATAAATCACTGCACTGTAGAGGAGACTTCGTCCGATGGTTGAATCTCGGATTCAGGAGGAGCAGTGTGGTTTTCGTCCCGGTCGCGGAACACTGGACCAGCTCTATACTCTCCATCGGATACTCAAGGGTTCATGGGAGTTTGCCCAACCTGTCCACATGTGCTTTGTGGATTTGGAGAAGGCGTTCGACCGTGTTCCCCGGGGTGTCCTTTGGGGGATTCTCCGGGAGTACGGGGTCCGGGGTCCTCTGCTGAGGGCTGTTCGGTCCCTGTATGACCGGAGCCAGAGCTGTGTTCGCATTGCCGGCAGTAAGTCAGACCTGTTCCCGGTGCATGTTGGCCTCCGCCAAGGCTGCCCTTTGTCACCGGTTCTGTTCATTATCTTTATGGAAAGAATTTCTAGGCGCAGCCTTGGGCCGGAGGGGGTCCGGTTCGGGGACCACAGGATTTCATCTCTGCTGTTTGCGGACGATGTTGTCCTGTTGGCTCCAACGAACCAGGACCTGCAGCATGCACTGGGACGGTTTGCAGCCGAGTGCGAAGGGGCTGGGATGAGAATCAGCACCTCCAAATCTGAGGCCATGGTGCTCAACCGGAAAAAGGTGCCTTGCCCTCTCCAGGTGGGTGGAGAGGTCCTTCCTCAAGTGGAGGAGTTCAAGTATCTCGGGGTCTTGTTCACGAGTGAGGGGAGGATGGAGCGTGAGATTGACAGGCGGATCGGTGCAGCGTGCGCAGTGATGCGGTCTCTGTATCGGACCGTTGTGGTAAAGAGGGAGCTGAGCCGAAAGGCAAAGCTCTCAATTTACCGGTCAATCTTCGTTCCCTCCCTCACCTATGGTCATAAGCTTTGGGTAATGACCGAAAGAACGAGATCGTGGATACAAGCGGTCGAAATGAGCTTCCTCCGCAGAGTGGCTGGGCGCTCCCTTAGAGATAGGGTGAGGAGCTCAGTCACACGGGAGGAGCTCGGAGTAGAGCCGCTGCTTCTCCACGTCGAGAGGAACCAGTTGAGGTGGCTCGGGCATCTGTTCCAGATGCCTCCTGGACGCCTCCCTGGGGAGGTGTTCCGGGCACGTCCCACCGGGAAGAGGCCCCGGGGAAGACCCAGGACACGCTGGAGGGACTATGTCTCAACTGGCCTGGGAACGCCTTGGGGTCCCCCCGGATGAGTCGGAGGAGGTGTGTGTGGATAGGGAAGTTTGGGCGTCTGAAGCGGAAGAAGATGGAATGGAACAATTCACTGCAGTTTATTAAGATTAAGATTAAGAGATCCTGTATTCTTCTATAGACTTTAAAATATATAAGTGACATGTTAGTCCCAGATGATCCGACCTGGACTCTTAGGAGCACAGGGACTGGACTCCTGTTAGTGCCCAGAGTCAGGACTAAACATGGGGAGGCTGCATTTCAGATTCATGCTGCTAAAATCTGGAACAATCTTCCTGAAGATGTGAGACAGGCCTCCTCTCTGACAATGTTTAAAACCAGGTTAAAAACAGTTCTGTTTAGCTGTGCATACAACTGAGGGATTTTATATTTTTCATGTACTGTGATTATTTATGATTTTTGTTCAGCACTTTGAGTTGCGTTGAGTATGAACTGTGCAGTAAAAATACACTTGCCTTGCCTATTCTTCCCACAGTGTTGCACCACAAGTTACAGAACAGTAGGAATGAGGAGCACACAACTCAAGATAAACGAATTATAACTCAATACAATAGTAAAATCTATAACTCTAGCATAAAAAGAAAGAGTATAAAATCTCTATCTTGAGCATAATAAGGAAATAAGTCTTAAAATCTCGAACTTTAACTTAATTGAGTTAAGTACAAAAAGCCCTGACTTTAGCAAAATATGGAGCAAGTATAAAATGCTGTATATTCTAGCGCAATTCATGTAGTTACATCTGTACATGATTTTCCATCACAAATGCAGTTCTCAGTGCTCTCCCAAAATGTGCCACTCACAGTATAAATATTTGAGAGCTTAAAAGTGTGTGTCTGTTGCAGAGTCGGAGGTGACAACAGTAAACCGGTGTCTGGACGCAGCCAAAGCCTGTAATATCGACGAGACGTGTCAAAAGACTCGCACGGAGTATGTGTCTGCGTGTATCCAGCCCTCGGCGCGCTCCGGGCCATGCAACCGGCCGCGCTGCAGCAAGGCGCTCAGGAAGTTCTTCGACCGCGTGCCTCCGGACTACACCCACGAGCTGCTGTTCTGCCCCTGCACCGACACGGCCTGTGCGGAGCGCCGCCGCCAGACTATCGTCCCCACCTGCTCTTTCGAGGAGAAGGAGAAGCCCAACTGCCTGAGCCAGCTGCGCGTGTGCAAGGCCGACTATGTGTGCAGGTATTTATCTATATGTTTCCAACAAAGAGTGTCCCAAGACCTCAAAAGAGAGAAACAAAACAAAACAAAAAAGGAAGACATACAATAGCATACACAGTGATGACCACACACTGATGGTACATACTGTGTTTTATGTAGAATATGTTGTAGCACTATTGTCATGTTTCAAAAAGAATTCAAAATACAATACTGCAAAAGATGATATAATCTAATGGACAAGAATCCAAAAACAAAACTCAACTGATTGTAAAACACAGGAACTGAGCACGATCACAAGAACTGAGGAGCAAATATACTGTTGCTTCATGTTTTATGTTATTATTTTATTGTATTATCTTAAATAAGGGGCGACAGTAGCTCAGTTGGTAGAGCATTGGCCTTAAGGCCAGAAGGACGTGGGTTCAATTCCCACCTCTGCACCTTCTCCACCGACTCCCACTGATGACTGCTGTCGTTGTGTCCTTGGGCAAGACACTTAACCCCACTTTGCCCAAAGCCCCCACTGAAAGATCAAGGCTATGCTCACACTCAGAGCAGCCATCCTCCTGTGGACTCACCACCTGCAGAGGGTCAGTGAGGGGCTGGTGCTATGAGACTTGGGTGGCATCTCTGACTGCCACCCCCCTGACCCAGAAATGGATTAAAGGGTAGAAAATGGATGGATGGATGGATCTTAAATAATAGATCCTGTTTGATGTGTGCAACCTGAGTGTTTTTGGTTCCTCCTTTTATTCTGTTCTAATGTGCGCAACAATGACATTGAAATTTCCCCACTGTGGTACAAATGGCTTATCTTATCTCATCAAAAACACAATGGACAGACAACAAGAGGGAAAGAGCACAGGGAATTTAACTGGGAGGCACATGAGGACGGGGCAGGCCATCAACAAAACAGGAAGTCAAACTCAAAAAAGGGGCAGTAGAACAGAAAATACAAAATAAAACAGCTACATCCAAAATGATAGTAGTGATATGGTTAAGGGAGCAATGCACGTAGCACCTGTGTGTTATTCTTTAAAATGTGAGTCAATACATTTGTTATTTATTTTTTTCGCTCTTTTGCATATTAGCAATACCTAATTTATGTTTTGTTGGAACTATGATGGACAAGAGGTGACTAAAATTAATAAATAAACAAACAAACAAACAAACAATATATGTGCATTGTTCATAATGATAATGCTAAATGCACTTCACATTTCTTAAACTGGATGTTGTAAACTGGACAGATTATTATTCCTACGTTTATTACATTGTGGATTAGTCTCATTATCAACCCATAACTTGAGGCAAAAACTCAAATCCCCATTGTCACTACAGGCCTAACGGTCAGCAGAGTTGTGCCGATGATTCCGACCGCTGTTGGAGTCTGTCTCGGCTCTTATAACCCAGTGTTTTCAGTCTCAGAGCGAAAGTGTTCTCAGCGCATTAACCACTGTCAACCTTCAATAAAAGCAAACAGCACATTCACTTAGAAACTCACTGAGGACCTGACAGTTCACACGCTGGCCTCAGACTCGGCTGCAACAAGGATCAAAATCACTTCTATTTATAGCACTGATTATTTCTTATTGGCTCAATGGAATCTAATCTGTAACCACGGCTGCGATGAGTTCAGTGATGCAGAACAAAGATTTTTGATGAATATATTTATTGCAATTATATTTCTGATTTTAATATATTCATAAAATGTTTTTACATGTTGTTCCATTAAACAGCTCACTATGTCTTTTTAGTGCAAAGTCTTTTTTATTATGGCATTTTTATTATCAAATGTCCTGTTAAGCAATCTCTGTGTGGTGTGAAAAGCATACGTTCCCTTGGAGACGTGTTCGGCGACAGGGCCCTTTATTAATTTGAAGAACTTTGCTTCCAGTTTGATTTACAGCAATCGTCTTTTTTATTTTACCTGCAATTCACAACTGTCATTCATATGGAGTCCCTTGGCAGTCCCCTTCACAGCCACATTTGTTACTAAAGTATTTAGGTGGTTCTTCTGGAGTAGAGGCTGTTATTTCAAAAATGTATTCTTATGTTTTGACAAATGCACCATTGCTCTTGGAGCCGGGATGGAGGTGGACTGATATTCCAAATATGTATATTAACAGGCATGGTTTACTTGGAAGTGTCCAGGGCACACATGGTACGAGGGAGCACGACCAGTTGAGATAAAGTATATTAAGATTAAGAGATTAAGAGCTCATTTATTTGTCCCACAGTGGGGAAATTTCAGTGTTGCATCACCAGTCACAGAACAGTAGGAATGAGTAGCACACAGCACAAGATAAATGAATACTAATTCTATACTAAATAAAATAAAATAAAAATGTCTAACTCTCGCATGAAAAAGAAACAAGAATATCATCTCTATGTTTAGCATAATAATAACGACAAACTCTGACTGAACGAAGTAGATAATGTAAGTTAGACTTTATTGATCTCATAATGAACAAATGAACATTTCACATTTGGCATGAATAGTATCACTCAGGATGTGCAAAAGACAGGACATGTGCAAACTGGGAATGTGCAAACATGTTAGAAAGTGAAAAGAAAGAAGTCTCTTTTGTCCAAGATATATTATGTACAATTAAATATATACTAGTCTATAGGACAATTGTTTGTTTACAACGTTGTATTCTTAGTGTGTGGTATAAGTGAGTGAGTGGTACAAAACACTCTCGTTCCCCCAGAGATAAAGTCTTTTCAGAGTTATATTTATCAACTTCCTTTATTTCCACAACAGCAAATCAGTCAAATTAAATAATGAAGCGGCCGAGGGGGACAATAAGTGGCATAATGCAGTTTGAAGCCGAGTCTGGCTGCCATGATATATTCACTCACTTTTAATTAGTCAACTGTCTTTAATTAATTCAATTGATAACTCATTAAGTGTTTAAATAGTTTAATTAGATACGTGTTCGTTTACGGGGGGAGCACCGAGCAGCACCGCAGTCATTACTGCTGTAGCTATTATCTCAAGCTTCACATGGCTGCACTGCCAATATTTACCAACGGGAAAGTCAAGTTATCATGGGGACTAGGGACAGTTTGCCCTTTGTACATATTTAAGGATGGGGAAAGATGTTTAACCAGATAAGTACAGAGGCAGTGGAAAGTATACTTAGAATGCGTATAAATCTTACAGGAAACCCATTTTAACAGCAACAATGTAAAAGCCTAAATGAAGCTCTGTATAGTGAATATGAAGATGCCATTTTGATGAATGTATGTTTCATTTTTGCTCCAGATTGTGTCCTGAAATAGCGTATTCCCATGATAGACCTTAGTGGTTTTATCCTCCCTTAAAAAAACTTTTTTTTTCTGTCATTGACAAGTTTAAAAATCTTGCATGGGAGGTTGTAATTCCCACTTTATCAGCAGATCGTATGCTTTCCATGGCCTCGCTGACTGTCATAATTGTCGGCTTTCAAAAAGGAGGAAGGTCCCAAAATGCAGGACTGCCAAAAATATAAGATTTGATACACAAAATACCCAGGGTTACAGAACTCCAAACTCAAACCAAGGCAAAGCAGGGACAAAAACACAATGGGCCAACATCAAGCAGAGAGGAGCACAGGGTTTAAATACACACAGGGACACACAGGTAAAACACTTACTGTAAGGTAATCAAGAAGTCCACACAATGACGTATGTGTCATGACATATGAACGTTCTGGAAACACCAAACTAGTAACTAGTTCTCGTTGCTCTTAAAACACTTTCTATCACTATTTCTATTTTTGTGTCAGATGTGCCAAAGATAAAAGGTTTTCTTCTTGTCCACAACATTATACTATACTACTGTGGTTTTGTGGCAGGAGCACTGGTGTGTGCCATCTTCTTTGTCTGGTGCATGCTAGGGTAGTCTTGCACAGTTTTTCCAATGTGTTTTTACTGCAAATGGAAAATCAATTATTTGAATTCTGAATCATGTTGGAAAACTAGTATTAAAGATAAATACAAATTTGAGTATAGATCCTAAAAACAATTACCTAAACAGGAGAAAAAATGTAAATTGTTTTGATACATTTTTACATATAACAGAAGGATTCTAGACAACACTAGATTGTCCGAAAAGAGTATTTCTAAAAAGTTGCTATTTTTGATAGTATCGTAATCAAGAAGCGTGACAACACTGGCTGAGATAAAAAAAATGTATTATTAACGAAAATAAAAAGTTAAGTACCCCGGCGTTTAAGGACCAAATTTGATGCCTTGACTCCAGTGGTAACAAGGCTGTAGACTTGTAAAGCAAGTCTACAGCCTTGCCCCAAAACCGATCATATTGAGTGTATTAAAATGCATCTGCCGTCTTTGCCTTTACCCCATCCGGACTCAAAACCATTCCAGCCACTGCATACATCAACCACATTTAATCTAGTCCCTCTTCAAATGTCAAGCGCACCAAGGACCTAATCTGTCTCGCCTATCGATCACGCGTTCTCCCCCCTACCCACCATTACCACCTCCTCCGTTGTCCCCACCAGTTCCTCTCCAAAGCCCTCACCGTTCATTCGCACCTCGCCGACTGGCCCGGGATGACTTCTACGTGCCCATTATTACAGAGGCATGAGGAATGAGAGTTGAAAAAGTAGAGAGAGAGCAATGGCTGGCGGTGTCCTCGGGGGTTCAGACGCAAATGCCAGCCTGCCGGAGCTGATGCGCTGATATGATGGCCCGGATAGCCTTGTGCGGGAATGATGATGAGGCCAGATCTGTGGCTGCCAGGAAAGGTGAAAACGGGCCGTATTTATATGAAAGATCCATATTTGTCTAATCTGTGCACAGCTATAGGCCACATGACAGGTATTCTGGATTAGAGCCAAGGACTTTCTCTGCGTCTCGTTGCTCAGACTGGCGGCCGACCAGAACGTGTCCGTGCGGGTGGGGGGGGGGGGGGTGGGGGCACGGTGACGGACGAGGCGAGATAGGAATAATTTTGTAGTGGAGGAAACTTGGGGAAATTTTAAATGAGCGATTCTGTGTTAGCATTTTGTTAAATCAGGTTTCATTGTGCGAGATTAAATCTAATATGGCATCTGTGAAGCATTTCATCAGGGAACCTTTGCTGGTTATTAAATTCTTTTAAAAGCATTAATTTTTTACTGTGCGCAGCAGTCTGGAGTTATTCCTCAATCTCCCCTGTATTGTGAGGATTGTTAATTATCCCCCATTATGACCATGTTTTTAAAAATGTTTTCACAACTTTAATTTTTACCATTAGGAGAACATCTTACTGAACACATAATCACTGCACTGAGATGTTAGAAGAAAAAGCAAAGACATCTCTGTTTTATCTACGTATTCTGTGTATATTCTTTATTATGGTGAAATGCAAGTATACTCCCTCTTCATCTTCCCATAAGAAAAGATAAGATAGACTTTGTTGATCTCTGACTGGAGGAATTTTCATGTCACATTTGGCATGGATAGAATCACTCAGATTGTGCAAAAGACAGAAGTGTGCAAAAAATATAGTCTGTGCAGGATTTAACTATGTACAATAAAATAAACAGTGGCAATAGCAGTGCAGCTTTTTTAGTCCTAGTGCTGAAGTGACTTAAAGTGACTTATACTACAGTCTGACAGCAGTGGGGATAAAGGCCACACACTCATAATATGTAACATATCTTCGAAAGTGATCTTGTTTAGCCATTTTCCTTCTCAAAAATGTCCACTTTACCTGCATATTTAATTTCTAAAAGGGTAGTGATATGATTGTCAGCTGTGGCTCCAGTAGTAGTTCATGGACTTACAGAATTGGAGTGAATGAATAATATTACGGTGTGTTCATAATCGCTGTGTCAAACGCACCATTTTTTCTTTTTCTTTTTTTTTTTTCAAAAGCATGCATAATTACTCATAGAATTTTTTTCTATGGATCCATATTTAACTCAAATAGTTGGATGACTGTGTAAAAAAAAATCATGTTACTTAAGCCTGATGTTGTGCTTACGGCCATGTTTCTATGCCTTGTAATAGCCCAAGAGCTTTTTAAAATACATGTTATTCGTCCTAAAGGGATTTTACTGTGCAGTGTATTGACTTCCTGTTCCTCTGTTGCTTTTGTGGCAGCAGATTGTGTCGCTTGCATACAGCATGATTCTGAGTCTGCTCTAAGTGATGGATGTCTCTGCTCTCAGGTCTCGCTGGGCTCAGTTCCAGTTCGATTGCCAGCCCTCGGACCTCAGCTCCAGCGGCTGCAAACAGGAGAACTATGGAGCCTGTCTCTTGGCATACACCGGACTCATAGGTAAGCCCTCCGTCACTTTGTCGGAAAAATCCAAATAAAATGTTATAGAGGTAAAGTCAGAGTGGTTCAGAGCACAGAGGAGGAATAGTGGTTATGGCTAGAACGATGCAAAGGTAAAAGCTGAAAGGAAGACCATAGAGGAGATTTATAGATGTGTGTTTGTATATCGATGAGAACAGAGGGGCATCTTGAGGGCAGCTGTTGCACCTGAAATAAAAATTGAAAGAAATGGGACCTGGACAAATTCAGTGTTTTTTTGTTATACCATTTATTATAGGATGTTATAGTATATGATGATACAAGCACACTTTTGCTGTGGGGAGTCTGTGATCTTGTCATGTGCAATTATGTATATTCAGGTATTGCATTTAAAAAAATAATAATAATAACATTTTCACTCCTCCACGTCAAAGAAACAAGGCTACGTGTTTAGTGCTATTTTTGCAAGATAAAAAGACAAGATCGCGCAAATATAGAAGATTAAACAATTAGTGGCCTGTCTCACATTTGTAAAAAGACAGTTTCAAGTGTTCATTGTAGGAGCTTTGTTGTCTGGGTAAATATGACCCCGATGGGGTCTGCAAAGCTGACAGGTTCTAGGGGCCGGCTCAGACAGTGGAGTGTGGGTCCTGGGGTCTCAGCACCTTCAGAAGATTCCATGGTCCAGGTTTAGGAAGATCTGACCTATTACATCATTAATACAACAGACTAAGCCCAAATGTGACATAGTGCATATAAAAGGCAACACGACGTTATACTTTTTTATCTATTGTACATGTTTTTAGTGGAAGGGGAAACCGTAGCACCCAGAGGAAACTTACACAAACACATGGAGAACATGCAAACTCCACTCGGCCCTGTCCTGACCAGGATTTGAACCCAGAACCTTCTTGCTCTCAAGACATTATAGTGGTTTTATTAAAAAGTATTATCTTTATGACAAACATAGGATTGATGTCATTACTTGGTCCCCCAATTGGTTTTATTTGGTAAAGAATGGTTTTAGAAAGACGGAGGAGGAGGAAGAGGAGGAGGAGGAGGAGGAGGAGGGATGAATGCGGGTGAGTGAGGTCCATTCGAATCAATAACGTCTGATGAATGTGTCTGAGGCTGTAGTTGGCATCATAAGGAGCACAATTACAACTATTGACCGCTGTTTGGACTGAATTATCCCTCACAAACATTGGTTGAGGGCATAACACAAGTCCTTTTAGCTGTTGACTGTTGAGGTGTGCATGTTAACATTTGGTTTGATGACTCCTACTGCCTTACTATTACTTCTATTAACTAGCATGTGCTCTTTGATAACCAGAATATCTTGATTTATTATATATCTATTCCAAATATGCAGTCACTTAAAATTTCTCTATTCAATTGATTTTAAATAACATTATATCTATTCAAAATGTCTTCCCAATCTAGTGTACTGCCATCTACGTTCTTGTTGCCCTTGGAGAATGCACCAAAAGTAGTCGCTTGTATGTGACAGATAAAAGAGGACAGCGAGTAGTGCAACAGTGATTGGCTTTTCTCCCAAACTCACCTCAAAGTGTGAATCCGGGCTTCTGCAGCTGTTGTTTGAAAGTGTGGGACCGGGAACAAAATCGATGGAGGTAAATCACAACTTTCTCACATCCAACGCTGCCTCAAAGAGAAGTCATTTTATTTCCCAGCCCCTTTAAAAATACAAGGCTCACAAAGACATATCGCCTTTCTCTCAGAATGACTTCCCCAAACCTTTCAGAGCAAAAAAGTCCAGCGGCACCAAGCATACACAATAAAGGGTCTGAAGAGGTCCACCTGGAGGCCGGAACAGTCAACACCCAGACAGAGATGTGTGGTTGGAATCATCCAGGTTCATGACCTGGATCTTTTTCTGTATGAATTCCTTGCCTCTGAATTTCCAAGGACGTTTTTTGTGTTTTTATTCAAACAACTCGGCAATAAGTCATCTAAGTTTAAGTTCTACTTTATTGTCCCTGGTAGGTATTGTCGTCTGGGTTCACTGTCAGGAGCAGTGGTCTCCTGCCCACATCAGCTTCATAATGCAAGGAAGCTCCATCGAAGCAGCCGCTTCATTCACGCCACAACCCTCCTCCTCCCCAAGAAATGGCCTCATTCTAGGCCATTTCTTTCATCTTTCTCCTAGCTACCACCACCAGGGTGTAGACCCAGGGGGTGATCTCGTCTCATAATCTCTTTCCCCTTCTCCAATCGTGCAGTGCTCTGCCGGGGTCAAAGCACCAAGTCCTGACCATATTCTCTACAGCAACAATAAATGTAACCCATGTTTTGTCTGTTTAAGTCTCTCCAGATGGATTGTTATATATATATATTTTTTCTGATGTGTGTTTTGCAGGAAGCACCATCACTCCAAACTACCTGGATAATTCCACTTCTAACGTGGGGCCATGGTGCTCCTGTGCTGCCAGCGGAAACCTCCGGGAGGAGTGTAACCACTTTCTGCACTTCTTTCACAACAACATGTGTCTGAGTGAGTAAAGGTGTATTACAGCTGCTTAAGGATTGTTCACACTGATATTCTGCACACAATATTTGCATAGAAATTAAATGGTTCTCTCCTGTAGGTAAAGTTTCCTGATGCCATTTTCATTTGTTTTTGTATTTGAGCAACTGTGTCCCAAGTTATCTCCCTTGTGGTTCGACAGAGTTTGTCTACACTTATTATCTTGCTACATAGTCTGTATACCAATTGTATTATAATTATTAATGAGCTGTAAGTAAAAGGAGTCTACAGTTCTGTATCTTTGAGTTCATTTTAATGCTGGTGAAGACTTGGATGGTTTATCTTTGGGTCCGTGTCCAGTACAAGTTTTATTCTCAGGTTGTATGTGTGGGCGCAGGATGCACCAATACCACACTGGTATCAGATATCGACGTTGGTGTTGGAAAATTACTATATCAAGTATGGGTTCTATACATAGACTATAAATATCAACAGTTGAATGTAATGTGCCATCACTTTTGCCTTCTGTAAACATGCGTTAGCGGGCATGAGCCCCATTCTTTTAACGAGTTCGTTCTGAAGTCCACAGCGGCTAAACTAGACTGGACCAAAAAAAATTACTCCCCTCAGCATTGATACACATCTGGAACGTAGCTTTGGGCCAAGAGCTGACTTTTGGACATCCTGCAAAGAAGTTTTTGAGAGGAAAGAAGACGGCATACAAAAGGCATGGGATAATTAACCCTCTGGGTCCACCCCATGGATCTATAATAATAACTGGATAGGGTATTACTAGCTTAAAGCTGTCCCACCCATGGGCACAGGGGGCGCCCGTGGTACTGCAGACTACATTCACGAGGGCTACCCAGAAAAAAGTCCCATAGAACTCAATGCATATTAAAACAGCATGACCTCAGCTGACAGAGAACCTACAGCTTTCATAAAGATTGGATTTTGTGGGGATTTTAGTGTCCCTTGTCATCCTGAACTTTTTTTCTTGTTAAATCCTTCTGTTTTCTTTAAATCCACACTTTACTGCCACAAACTCTGCTCCCTGCCTTCTCGCTCTGGCTCCGCTCTCCGCTGCTCTGATGAGCAGCTCTGATTGGTCAGAACGCGGCCGAGCCCCTCTGTGCGCGTGCATGAAAGCCACACACGCACGTTTGGCACAAATCCACTGCGCAGAACCGGGAGGACAAGACAATGCCCAAATATAGGCGAGTTCAGCTAATCTCCCGGTCTCCATGAAGTCCCATGCGCTACTGAGCACACGCCATCTTGGATCGCCGAGGCTTGGTCCACCCCCACCGGCCCGGAGTGAGATTGCAACCATGTCAGCGCACGTGCACGTGGACCTTTTGGAGCTGGGACCTGCCCCCACTGGTTCTGTTGTAAAAATTAAACCCAGAGGAAACCCAGAAGAAAACCTATACAGCCACGGGGAGGAAATGCAAAACCTCTGCAACATGCTGCTATTCAGTAGTTACTGCAGGACAATTGGAGCCATTTTGAGCAGAAAAAATGCTTTTCTGAGTTCTTTCACAGGTGTTGGTTCAAAAGTTGGATTGCTGCATCATAATTAAAGCCGAAGTATCCAACTTAAAATGTAAAATGTTGTGAACAGATCAGAACACAACATACTATATTTTTCTTATTTAAAACATTTTGCGTTTTGCATACTTGTAAGGAAGAACCCAGCTTTCAGACTCTTTGGGGTGAAAGCTGATTGGCTGAGTCCTAAATCTGATCTAAAGATTATGACAGAAGCCAAAAATGCATGCAACTTGTGATATAGCCACCCACTAAACATCCGACGTCCACTCAACCTCCAGATCACGTCAATATCGCGTCGGTCGGTCGTGACCTTTTATTTACGTCCAAACGACGTCTGTGCAAGGTGCGCATCTGGACGTAAAACAATGACCTCCCATATACGTGGATATGACGTTCAATCCCGACCTCCCTTAGACGTCGAAAACAGGTCATCGGCCGACCGACGCAGTACGTCTTGATCTAGCAATACAATATATAGGCTGTGAAGCAGTGTAAATGTACCTGACGGTAGTGTATTGGTTAAGCAGATGTGTTCAGCCTTGGTTACGTGAGTTCGAGCCCACGTTTGTGTATTATTATCTTTACATATTTGTTTTGATTTTTAATGAACAATTTTTTTCTGTTTGGTTAAAGACTAATAAACACTCAACATAGGATTATGTAGTGGCTAATAATAAAACTTGTGAATGTATGCATTTGTTGTGCGAACAATCTCTTTTTTTTTTTATACTTTATTTTTGAGTTTTTGCCTTTACAACTTAAGGTGATTATCACAAAAAACAAAAAACCTCCCAAGGCAACATTTATAGTGCAGAGAAAAAAAAAAAAATAATAAATAAAATAAAATAATTATAATAATAATAATAAAAAAAAATTAAATAAATAAAAAAAAAATAAAAAAAAAGTCTGTTTTAAATATTTATATATACGCATACATATGCACACTCATTTACATATATGTATGTATACACCTATATACACACATATACCCCCAAACACATATGCTCATACACATATACCTATATTCATGCATACATGCACTTCATTATATATCTCCTTCATGCACATGCATGAAGCAGTGCGCACACCCTCAAAACAAATTTGCCTCAGCTTCATTCTCCCATTGTCTTATTCATACATTATATGCATTTACATACGTTTCATCATAATTAAAATAAAAATAAAAGTAAAAAATGAGTTAATGAGGAGTTCCATTGACTTCATCAGTACATCAATCTTTAAGAGAAAGCATTAATGAGATAAGAAAAAAATAATAATAATTTGTGTATATGTATATATACCTCCATACACATACATACCCATGCATGCTTACATACACACAATATGCACATATATATACACACACATACCCATATACATACATATATATACACATTTACATACATACACACCTATACCTACATGCATACGTATATGCCTTCACATACAAAGAGTATTAAGTCAGAGTCTACAGGTGAGACTACCTATCACCGAACCACATCATTCTCAAAGTTGTGGAGCAGAATTTGTTAGTCACAAAAAATCTATCATGAGCCACTTCCTTTGAAAAATTATTTCTTTGTTCCTAATTTTGTGGGTTATTTTTTCATTAATTTTTACCTCCTGTATTAACTTCACCCATTTTATAAATACTGGTGGATTTTCATTTTTCCATTCTTTAGTAATGGTTTTTAATGCCGTAATTCTTAAAATTCTAAATAAATAGTAGTCTTCTGGTGTTAAATTTACAGGTATTTTACCTAGTAGCATATTTTCAGCCTTTATTTCCAATTGTTTCTTAAAAGTTCTTTCCATTTGTTTCTTTACTTCTACCCAAAAGGACTGTATTTTATTACATGTATAAAATATATGAGTATAATTAGCATTTTCTTCTCCACAATTCCTCCAACACTTACCACTATTATTTATATTTTTCAATTTTTCCGGGGTGAGGAAGTATCTCATATTAATTTTCCAGGAAAATTCTCTCCAAAACAAGGAATGAGTGGTTCGGTGATTTCCAATACTGATTTGTTCCCATTCTTTTTCTGTTATTTTTATGGATAATTCATCCTCCCATTTTTGCTTGATGTTTAAAACCATTTTTCCTTCTTGATTTAGTAACGCTTGATATATTTGACTGAGGCCATTTTGGATTCTTGAATTTGATAATCTTTCCATTAACAATATCATGGGATGAATCTCTTTTTTGTTTGTTATTTTATCTTTGAGATAGCTTCTTACTTGCAAGTATTTAAAGAATTGATTGGTCGGCAGACAATATTTTCTTGATATGTTTTCAAAGGATTCTATTCCATTGTTATTAAACAATTGATAGAATCTTACTAGTCCCTTCTCTGCCCATTTATCCAGTATATTATCCATACTACTCGCTTTAAAGTTTGGATCTTTTGCCATTTCTCTCAGATACACCATCTCATTGTCTTTAATTTTTAAATCTTTCATAATTTTCTGCCATATCCTAATAGTGTTCTGTAAACAATAATTGTTTTGCATTTCCATTTTATTTTCTTGATTTTGAGTTTTCACTACAAGGGATTTCATCAGGCCTACCTTATGAAGCTCCATCTCCTTCCAAATGGGATTGTCTTTGCTTATCCAAACCATAATTGACTTCATCTGGGCAGCTTTAAAATAGCTCTCCAGATCTGGCAGTGCTAGTCCTCCTTCTGATTTAGGCCGTTTCAAAAGTTTAAGTTTGACTCGAGGTTTTTTCTCATCCCAAAGGAATTTTCGAAGCAAACTATCCCATTCTTTAAAGTATCTGGGTGGTATGTAGCTTGGTAAATTCTGGAACAGGAACAGGAATCGAGGTAAAGTTGTCATTTTAATTGATTGAATTTTTGAATATATTGATAAGTTCAACAGTTTCCACCTATTAAATTCTGCTTTTATCAGGTCAATTAGTTTCATATAATTTATCTCAAATAATTGTTCCAGTCCTTTTGGTATGTATACCCCCAGATACTTTATGTGTTTACAATCCCATTTAAAATTATATTTCCTTTTTATTTCGTTACCCAAATGTCCAAACACCATAGCCTCAGTCTTTTCTTCATTTAATTTATACCCTGAATATTCACTATACTTTTGTATTTCACCCATTACATTTTCCAGGGATTGCTTGACATTTGTCACTGTTATTATCACATCATCTGCGTAGAGGGCAAGTTTGTACTCATTACCTCCCATCATTATTCCCTTTACCTTTACATTTTGTCTAATGCTCTCTGCTAAGGACTCCATACACAGGGCAAAGACCAAAGGTGATAAACTGTCCCCCTGCCTCACACCTCGGTGTAGGCTAAAGGTATTAGACAGGTTTCCATTGACCTTGACTGCTGCTTTTGGTTCTGCATACATTATATTAAGAATTTGTATGATTTTATCATGAAAACCAAATGCCTTAAAGGTCTTAAATATAAAGTCCCATGACAGCCGATCAAAGGCTTTTTCAGCA